AACGTATAGCCCATGGTCAGTGCAAACCTCTCATCTGTGTTTGTAATCTTCAGCAGCACATGTAACCTCTGTTAGAGAGTCATTCCGTCATTCAGAGCTCAAAATAGTCCAAAAGGTGATGATAATAGTTAAACAAGGCAGCTTGTTCATCTTTTAGGTTGCTGAAAGAATCATTTGCTCCTTTGCTTTTCCGGCTTCTCCCTTGTTTTTTCGCGCTTCACTCTCGTGTTTGTCCATTTCTGAAAGGATCGAGTGTCAGAAGCACTTAATAATCACGTGCATGTTATTATCATCAGCTCAAACAGTTCATTATTTTACATATAGACGCGCGGCGAGCACAAGCGAGAAAGCGAAACAGCTCATGCTTTATTCTGCTCTTCTTCTTGGCTTTGTGGCAGCTCATCAAGACAACAAGTTTTGTTTAAGCTCGAGTTGACCACGGCTTGTTATTATATGTATATAGTATTACGGTGTAATGTCTCGGCTGTGAATTTAAAACATGTCGGTTCCTTTGTTTTCATTCTGGCTTGTTGCACGAGCGAGTGATGCATCTCTGTTAACCAATAGCGTTCAGTTGCACGTCTAGCTCCGCCTTTTGGTACACTTATGTTGTGTTAGGTACCCTTTGCAAAGGGTAGCCAAAGAGTGGTATACTTTTAGGTACCTTTAGATAGTGGAAACAGTCATAAAAGCAAACCGAACCGTACCATACCACCCAGTGGAAACAGGCCATCACGTGCGGTTTCAAAGCTGTATGACTGCAAGATATTTTATATAAAGACATGTTTAGACGCTGTCAAAATACAAAAATGCACAATAAAAGTGCCATACACTAAAAAAAAATAATTGTTTTAGGTACAGTAAGTGGTTGCAAACAATTTATATGGGCTGAATCTGAACAAACCAATTAAATATGGTAATGCTTAACTCAATGGGCCATATCATACACCCTGCGCAATAAGGTGCAAGACATGTTTAGCGAAATTTATTGCTATTTTCAGACAAGCACAACCCTAATTTTACAAATTTTTGCTCCACATTGTTTATATAGCAAATCCATTTGTGCTGCTTTGTGGACTCATGGCTGTCCGGTGTGTTAAGGCGCATTGTTGGCGCGTTGCTATTTTGAGGGAGGAGGGGGGCTTTTTTAGTTTATTTATGACAATTTACATTTTTATATTATTATTAGTATTTATTGTGCTCATTTAAATTTGTTTTAATAAAAACTAGTTTAGGTTTTGCGTTTAGAGATGTCTGCATCATATGGGGCATAAGGACAGGACGTGTGTTTGAATATAACGCTTTTTTGAGCACACTTCTTTAATACTGTTCATTTATTTCTTTGCTGGAGATTAGAACTGAATTTAGAAATAGTTTTGAAACAAACCTTTGCGCTTAACAAACTAAATTAAATATGTGGGCTAATGGATGTGTTCAGTGGAGTGAGTTTCCACTGTTTCCCCACTCCACCAAAGTAAAGGAGTAAAGTAATGAGTTAAGTAAAGAGAAGAGAAAGTGAATAGGATGAATGGAGGAGGCTCGTTCTTTATCCTCGCGCTGCAGATGCTCTGTTGAACTGTTTTCTTGCTAGTGAAGCGTTCAGTTTTTACCCTTACAAAGTCCGCCATGTAAATAGCAAATGCGCTCTGGAGCGACCTTACTGACTCTTCATGGAATTATGAGATGAGACTTTGACTGGTTTAATGAACGTCATGTTCAAAACACACCCAGAACTCATTAAGAGAATAAGCATAGCCCTGTTAGACCATGCGTCAGGGCGCAGAGCCATCCTTAAACTAGCAAAAGTGGATTGGGACACTCTTAAAACCTTTGCGCCATGCGCTTTATACTTTGCACTTAGAACGTTAAAATAGAGCCCTATAAGTTTAAGCGCCACACATTCTGCTAAATATCTCCTATAAGAAGCTCAGACGGAAGTGTAAATCAAGACAAGAGTCCTCCCTCATCACAGCTGTGTAAATTCCTCTATAAACAGGATGTAAAACCAACGAGTCCAAAAAAGTGTCATTGTGTTGTGTCCCGCGAGAGTTTCTTTGGCAGGTTTCTTCTTTTTTGGCATGCGACTTCTCATCTTTCCTCTGTTTCCGTCTCACCCAGCATCTAGTGAGTTCATATCTTGGCCTTTTTCCCGGATAGGAGAGCCACTGTTGAGGAGGAACTGGGATCCTGCCAGTGCGCTGATATCAGGCGCTTTTTAGATCGCTATAAAGCAGAGTCCCTGTTTATCAGGCACGGCTCAGATCGCAGAGAACCCTGCAGGTTGTGGGTTCAAGTTCTCTGGGGAACAAACAGTCTTGTACACAGACAGAGCAAACAACCTCCTGCAGCTCATCCCAGCATCAATTAATACACACTCGACTGTTTTCAATTGGACTGCAATTCCATGTATGTGTATATATACAGTTGAAGTCAGAATTATTGGCCCTCTTCGATTTTTTTCTTCTTTTTAAAATATTTTCCTAAAGATGTTTAACAGAGCAAGGTCATTTTCACAGTGTGTCTGATAATATTTTTTCTATTCGAGAAAGTCTTATTTGTTTTATTTTGGCTAGAATAAAAGCAGTTTTGAATTTTTTATGAACCATTTTAGGGACAAAATTATTAGCCGCTTTAAGCTATATTTTTTCTCGATGATCTACAGAACAAACCACTGTTATACAATAACTTGCCTGATTCCCCTTACCTGCCTAGTTAACTTAATTAACCTAGTTAAGCCTTCAAATGTCACTTTAAGCTGTATAGAAGTGTCTTGAAAAATATCTAGTCAAATATTATTTACAGTCATCCAGGGACGGACTGGCCATCTGGCAATTCTGGCAAATGCCAGATGGGCCAGACCATTTTTAAAATGTGGGCCGGGTCAGCTATTTATTTATTTATTTTTTTTATACGTATGTTATTACATTCAAGCAGCTTTTATCTCTTGCAAGATATGAATATTATGATGATGATAATGATGATGATATTAGGTTAATAATAATAATAATAAATAAGGATTCGCCCAATCGGCAATGACCAGCTGGTTTCGAGATGGTCTGACCCAATTGGAGGTCACGCGGACGTAATCAAAATCTGGTAATAATGTCAAACAAACAGTAAGTGCAACACAAATTGGAAAAAAAGGAAAGGCAGTGCAAAAAGCTCAGAGAAAGCAAACAAAAAAAAGGCTCTAAAATCAAACGCTGCCAAATGCATAAAATTAAATGAAATAGTCTTAAAAGGGGGCAGCACAGGGTAGCGCTGACGCTTTACAGCACGAAGGTCTCTATTTCGGCCCACGGCTGGGACAGCTGGTGTTTCTGTGTGGAGTTTGCATGTTCACGTGAGTTTCACATGTGCTATAGCTAAATTGGGTAGGCTTAACTGTCCGTAGTGCATGTATGTGAATGTGTGTGCATGGGTGTTTCCTAGTCATGAGAAGGGCATGCGCTGTGTGAAGCATACGATGGATAAGTTGGCGGTTCATTCCGCTGTGGCGACCCCTGATTAATAAAGGGACTAAGCCGAAAAGAAAATGAATGTATGAAATTATTGCATGTATAAATTTGTTATAAATGGATTGTTTTTATTCCAGTAGCATACATTAAATGTTTAAATATCTATTACCTATATGGAACTGCTTATATTATTTCACCATCTGTACACCAATATAAATAGTGAATGTGCTTGTCTGTGCATGGGGCTGTGTCGGTGTGGTAATGCTGGTGTGGCTACAGTGCCAGGGCTGATTTTTAGTCCCAGTCCGCCCCTGCAGTCATCATGGCAAAGAGAAAATAAATCAGGTATTAGAAATGAGTTATTAAAATTATTATGTTTAGAAATGTGTCGCAAAAATCTGCTCTGTTAAAAAGAAATTGGGGAAAAAAATAAACAAGCGGTCTAATAATTTAGGGGGTTATAGTTGTGTAACTTGGCTTATAAACACAACACATTCTATCAGTACTCTCGGGCTGCACGCACTGGATAACATCAACAACTCGTGTAACACACAATTCAGTCTGTACTGCAACAACCACTCGAACATAGATGCTTACATGTGAGAACTACCCACAAAACACATAGGGCCTTATCATACAGCCGCGCAATAGGGCATAAGACGTGTTTGGCATGATTTGTTGCTATTTTCAGACCAGCACAACTATAAATTCAATGTTTTGCACCTAATCTCATCTTATTATTGTCCTCTTATCTGGGGCCGGGTCATGGGGGCAGCAGTCTTAGGAGAGAACCCCAGACTTTTCTCTCCCTAGACAGTTCCTCCAGCTCCTCAGAGGGGACTCTAAGCCGTTCCCAAGCCAGCCGAGAGACATAGTCCCTCAAGTGTGTCCTGGGTGTTCCCCGAGGCCTCCTCCCGGTGGGTCATGCCTGGAACACCTCCTTAGATAGGGGTCCAGGAATCATCCGAAATAGATGCCTGAGCCACCTCAGCTGACTTCTCTCGATGTGGAGGAGCAGTGGCTCTACTCCGAGATCCTCCCAGGTGACAGAGCTCCTCACCCTATCTGTAAGGGACCACCCTGAGAAGGAAACTCATTTGGTCTTGACCCAAAGCTCATGACCTTAGATGAATGGAGGAGTGTAGATTGACCGGTAAATTTAGAGCTTTGTCTTTCAGCTCAGCTCCTTCTTTACCACAACGGACTGGTACATTGACTCCACTACTGCTGCCGCTGCACCAATCCGCCTGTCAATCACACGCTCCATCCTTCCCTCACTAGTGAACAAAACTCCAAGATACTTGAACTCTTCCACATAGGGTAAGGACTTTCCTCAAACCTGGAGATGTTTTGCACCATGTTGTTTAAACAGCAAGTCCATTTGTGGACTCATTGGTGTGCTGGTCTGAAAAGGAGGTGTGTTAAGGCGCATTGTTTGCAAGTTGCTATTTCGAGGAACTGAAACAGTCCACGTCATTGACCAACTGAAAGCTGCGCTAAAGTCCAAAGCAGAGCCACACAAAACACCAAAATGTTTCTTACTGTCATGAAGCCATCGAGGAGGCCAGAATCGGGTTTAGGAGGTGCCTGTAGACGCTCCATGGACCACTTTTCAATGATGGAGGACACTTGACTGTTCTCTGTGTTTAGGATACGAAATCCAGTCATGTTGACTCCGCTGTAGCGATACGGCTCCACGTCCAATGCGAAGAGATCCTAAAAGCATTTGGGAAGGATTGTAAATTGGCAAATAATTGGGGGAACAACCTTAAATCACTGTTGAAATAAGTTGCATTTGTACATCCTTATATAATACACATCAATAATAATTATACCTATTTATAAGGCTGACCCACTTCAAAACTCTAGTGAGATATCTTGTAGTCGTAGGCAAAAACAGAAAATGTACCAGCCATGAAAATGTTTGTTTGTTTATTTATTTGGTTATATTTTTTTTATTTATTTGGTTATAATTTTTGCTTGTTTAGTTTATTTATTCATGCTTGTGGTTTATATACTTATATTTGTGTTTTGTTTTTTTTTTTGGTTTATTTGATATATTATAGTATTAATAATATATTATATAGTACTTTATTAAATAATTAGTTTAGTCTTATTTTTAATTAATTAATTACCTATAAATTATTAATTAATTTTTGTTAATAATTTGTTTGTTTGCTTGCTTGCGTGCTTATTTTATTTTATTTTATTTATTAGTTTTTTATTTGATTTCATTTTTATTTCATTTTGTTTGGTGTATTTATATTTTTGGATAATTAATTAGATTGTTTATTTGTTTGTTTGTTTATTAATTAATTAATTTTGTTAATTATTTATTGATTTGCCTTATTTTTATATATATTTTGTATTTGTATTTGTATTGTATTTATTTATTTATTTTGTTTATTTATTTATATTTTGGAGTATTTTGTTTGCTTATTTGTTTATTAATTAATTTACTTGTTTGTCATATGTTTATATTTTTTATTTTTATATCTTTATTTATTTTATTGGTATATTTACTTTGTTTTGGCTCATTTTTTATTTGTTTGTTTGTTTGTTTATTTATTTATCTATTTATTTATTTCAATATTTATTTTTCTTACATGTATTTGATTATTATCATTATTTCTTTCTTTTTTTGTTTTGATTTAATTATATTTTGGTTTATTTGTTTATTTGATTGTTTGTTTGTTTGTTTGTTTATTATTTTTGATTTGCCATATTTTTATATTTTATACTTTATATTTATTTGGTTTATTTATTAATATTTTTGGTGTATTTTTGTTTATGTGTTTAATAAATTTTTATTTATTTGCTTGTCATATATTTATACTTTTTTTTTACTTTTTTTGCTGATTTATTTAGTTTTTTTTCTTTGTTTGTTTCTTTATATTATAT